GTGATGATGTGAGAACTTAGCTACTGCTCCTATTCCAGCCACCTCTGCCACCATGCCTCCCCACCATGATGAAATCTTGCCCCTTTGAAACCATATCTCTGATGAACACTGATGCAAATAGTCTCAAATACTAGCAAGTAAGATTCAGTAACACATTATGAAAGACTATACACCACGACTAAGTAGGATTTATTCTTGGAATGCAAGGATGACAACACATGAAAATCAGCTACGGTGGTCTGAATGAGAAATGTCCCTCATAGGCTCAAGTGTTCAAACACTTATAGGTTTCCAAGTTGGTGTCACTCTTTGGAGAAGGTCATGGCACCTTTAGGAGGTGCAGCCTTGCTGGGGGAATTATGTCACTGGGGACCAGCTCTGAGAGTTCATAGCCTCCTTCCACCTCCAGTTCCTCTCTGCTTCCTGTGCCTGCTTGAAGACGTGAACACTTAGCTTCTGCTCCTACTCCAGCCACCCCTGCCACCCTGCCTCCTGTCATGATAAGACTCTTACCCCTTTGGAACCATAAGCTAAATAAACTCTTCCTTTTATAGGTTCCCTTGGTCATGGTGTTTTTATCACAGCATGAGAAAAAGTGATTAATACCCCAACCAGTGGCTTGAAGGGTGATTATCCATGACTGGCACTGGGAGTTTTATTTGATCATCTATTACTCTTTGGGGCAGCATTATCACCTATGTGGCACAAATCAATTTAAAATTTGTAATATATGTATTTTTAGTAAGCTTATATAATAATGTTTCTATATAGCTTTTTCAAATGTTCTTGGTATTATTGATCTCTCCTTCCCCCCCCCTTCCTCTGTATTACCCTCCCTCTTCCCCAGTTAACATCCAGCCCATTTTTCTTATTTTCCCCATGATAGTACCTATGTCCTACTAGTCCCCTCTCTAGAGCTCTTTTTTCCTCTTCCTCTATAGTCCCTTCCTACTTTCCTGGATTCTGTTGTTACTTCACATTATATACTCACATCTAAAGATCCAGAGATAGCATCCACAAATAAGAGAGATAATGCTGCATTTGTCTTTCTGGGTTTGGGTTACCTCATTTAGTATAGTATTTTTCCAGTTCTATTTGTTTATTTACAAATTTCATGATTTATTTTTTTCTCCTTAAAACTGAATAAAATTACATTGTTTGTATGTACTACATTTTTATTATTTATTCTTCAGTTAATGGACATTTAGGTTGTTTCCATTCCCTAGATATTCTGAATAGTGTGGCAATGAATATGGATAAGCAAGTATCTTTGTAGAAAGATATAGATTCACACTTAAGCTCTGGTAAAGTGGTCTTGAGTGAAAAACAATACAAAGGCTCAGAGAGGAAACATGAACAAAATGGTTTGTACACAGATATTGAAAATAAAAGGGGCCTTTTCAGGGGGTGATTAGTTAAGAAAAAAAACTTAGATATTTACCAAGTATAATTCATGTGATAAAATATTTATGTATATTTGTCAAAATTAATACTTATATATGCATTTTGAGGGAATTTTATTACTATCTGTATATCGCGAGTTAATGAGAAACCATTTCCAAGATTCCTCATGCCACCATGCCTCCTCAATGCTTTTCTCAGCATTTTTAGACTTATGAATGAATATATTCACAGGATAAGTGGTAGGTGTTGTGCCTGTAGGAGGTTTTGAATCAACAAGGTTGTAATCTTTAGAGGCCTGTGTAATATCACTTCAGTATTTCATGGAGGAATATTTCTTTGGATTGCAAATTCAAGTATTTATTTTTTAACAACACTTATTGAACATCAACTCTGTGTAAAACTTACTTGCGATACAAGATAAGAAGTCTTTCTTAAACTAGTTTCTTTAAGGGTGACACAAAAAATAAACATTTACATCAGTAAAATGCCTTTTGAATCCACAAAGTTAGTGAGTGACACAAATATCAGAATCATAATTTTAGAGAAGCAAAGGTATTAGAATTTATTTTATCTCTTCAGAGTGTGGGATTATAAGCAAAAATTCGTTGAAGGATATAACCAAGGAGACTAAGGCAGTTGTTCTCTCTGAATTTGTATCTTCAATCAATGGTCTTCTTTATTCACCTTTCAACTCTACTCTTCTAAACAAAAGAGCTTGATGTAGCTTGGTCTTTTCTAGGACTTTTTTTGTGGAATATAATGACATTTACACATACCTAACTTGGAGTATACATAAGTTGAGTGTGTGTGTGTGTGTGTGTGTGTGTGTGTGTGTGTATGTATCAGTAGGCTATTCTTTTTTTTTTAATTCCATGTGTGTATTTTGCCTGCATTTATGTAAGTGTACTCCTGTCATGAAAAGTTCGTGGAGGCCAGAAAAGGGTGTTGGATCCCCTGGAACCAGAGTTACCAATGGTTATTAACTGCCATGTGGGTGCTGAGAATCAAACCTGGATCATCTGCAAAAGCAACCACTGCTCTTAACTGCTGAGCCACCTCTCCATCCTAAGTATGCTATTCTATTTTTTTTTAGTATTTTATTTATTATTTTATGTGTATGAGTGTCCTGCCTGAATGTAGGTAAGTGTACCCATGTCGTGCAATGCCCGCTGAGGACAGAAGAGGCTGTCCAATCTCCTGGAGCTAGAGTTACAAACAGTTGTTAGCTGCCATGTGGGTGCTGGGAATCGAACCCAGATCTTCTGCAAGAACAGTCAGTATTCTTAACCACTGAGCCATCTCTCCAGCTCTCTTATTCTTAAGACTTTGAAAATAACTTTTAAAAATGATTTTATTTTTAATCATGTGTATGTGTGCATGGCGGGGGGCGGGGGGTTACTTGCACATGAGTGCAGGTGCTCCAGGAGGTGAGAGAAGGATGCCTGATTCCCTGGAGATGGAGTTACAAACCACTCATTATGAGCTACCCAACCCAGGCAACCGAGCTGGGAATCAAATAAGATTCTCTGGAAGAGCAGTACATGCTCTTAACCCCTGAGCCATCTCTGAAGCCCCTGGAAATAATTTTTCATACAAGTGGTTTTCTTGCTTTTTAGAACTACTTTGTTCTGATAAACTATTGAAGAGCTATTTCACTTCCAATGTTTTTGGCCTGGGAAGCATGGGGAGATTAAGAATCATCACATAGTCCTTCTAAGTAGCTCAGAACAATCTGAGCACTAGGTTTTTTCTGCCACTGATATGAAAGCCTTGTAACTTAGGGTAAATAAAATTAGGAATTTGCTCTTTTCTATTGCTGATATTTTCCAAATAAGCCTGCAATACTTTCACAATGAGAAAATTTACAACTGTATGCACAAAAATTCTCTCTTCTCATTATGAAATTGGACTCACAATTTTGTTTCAATGTTTGTTTTCTAAACATTATTCTTATTAGCAGACCATTATGTTATTAAATATTCCTTAGAAACACAGTTTAGATAAGTTCAATTATTTCATATGTCAAAACAAGTTCGTGGTTGCTATTTATTCTTCTGCCATAAACTACTTAGGATAAATGATGAGCCATCAAAGGACTATTAATGATAAATAGCATGTATTAACTGAAGTCCCTAAAAATGGCATAGTTGCATTGAACAATCTACAAGGCTAATTAAGTGATTAGAACCTCAGTGACTGCAGAGAGGTTTGAATGTTGCATGATCAGAGCCAAATTATCTTGAAAATTCTTAGCCGGCTAAATACTCATTTATTGCCACTTCTGCATGTGACTACCACAGCATCCTTGTGACCCTTTGGTAAGTCCTTTTGGTATGTGTACACAGACTCCTTAGCTTCTATCAACCCAAAAAGCTAAGAATGTCATCAGATAGCAGCTGAGGCCTATTACAGAAGTTTCTCCTTTTTGCTGTAACATGCCTACCTAAGGCACTGTATTTCAATTCAAATACTAGTGTATTTGAAAGATTTTTTTTTAATAGTTCTCTTTGCTTTGTTACTATAAAAACTTTGTGAGGTCTAGCAAGATGCCTAGCAGGTAAAGGTACTTTTGTGACAAGCCTGGCAACCTGAGTTCAATCCATGGAATTTAAGTAATGATAGAAGGAGCAAACCACTCCAAAAAGCATCTTCTGATCCCCATACATGGGTGTGGCACAGACTCCCTTCTTCCCACCACATCATAAAAAACAATACAAAACAAATAAACCTTCATTGAAACTGTTAGCACACTGGAATACAGAATTCAGAGTAACCTAAATCTCTGTTTTTGGGCAAGATTCACTCATATTTGACTCCAGAATAAGCTATATATTATTCCTTTCAGGTTGAGAGCTTCGTTTTTTATGTTCACATGGAACCATTAAAAATCATGTTTTCAGGGTACTTAATAACTGTAGAAAATACTCATGATATAAATGATAAAGTAAGTTTAAAAAGTGTAAAATATGCACTCAAATTTGTAAGATTATAGAACAGATTTATTAACAAGAGAAATCGGCATGATTAACATTTAGCTGTTTGTCTAGGTTGTACGATTAAAGTTAGTTTTTATCTTTAACTGAATTTTAGAAAAGCACAATGTCAGGCTACTTTCTGTATGTTCATAAAAAATTTTTTAAAACGACGAATGATCAGGTAGAAAATAAAAAGGACAGTTTGATTCAACATGGTGGACTGTGCACAGCCTTCCCCTTCCTACAGAACCCTATCTCAAATCCGTTAAAACTGAAAAAGAAAAGAAAAGAAAATTTGGTTGTACATTTGTTTGTACAATTCCTCCCAGCCCACGGTTTTTTGTTTTTGTTTTTGTTTTCTTTTCTTTTTACGCTTGTGAGGAATTCCTGGAAGATAGAAAGCAGATGGAGTCGCTGTGAAGTACGCTATTGGGCAGCAGACAACCAGCCTGGGAGGAGGGGAGCCGAACTGTCTGGCTTTGGTTTGAGGGAAACAGTCGGGGGGCGCAAGTCCAAATAAAGGAGAGCGCTTGTGTCAGTGTGGCTGCCCGCGGAGCGGAAGGCAAGACGGAAGGGGGCGGGGCGGAGGTGCGGGCGGGCTCGGAGGAGGAGGAGGGTTCCCTTAGCTGCAAAAACCGCGGTTCCACAGACTGGCCAAGCTGACAAGCAAGACCAGGCCGCGCAAACTGCTAGGAGACGTGCTGAGGACTGCACTTTGGCTGCTGCAACCATCCCTCTTTTCTCTTGTGCACTTCATCTAGCGTCTCCTTCTCTGTTGTTGTCCTGCAACCGCAGCAGCACTGACAACAGCTAAGTGGCGGATTCCGGGACTTAGGGTTGGGAGTCTGGGAAGGCGCCTGGCGCGGACAGAACACCGGAGCCCGCCATCTCTACCATCACTACTGCACTCACCCCTCCCTGACCAAGAAGAAAGCACTCGCGAGCTGTACTGACTGTCTCAGTTCCCAGTCAGTTAGCTCCTTTCTGCCAAAATCTGGTGAGTTTTGCGCTTGGAGAAGGGAGGACGGGCTTAGTCTCCAAGATTGAGGAAAAAAAAAATCAGATTGAATAGTGTTATTTTGTCAGCTTGTTAAGCAAAGTGCAGCTTTTGCCTGAGCCGCATTAAGTCTTGAGCCATGTCTCCTCCTACTGTGCCTCCGACGGGGGTAGATGGTGTGTCCGCATACCTGATGAAGAAAAGGCACACTCACAGGAAGCAGAGGCGTAAGCCCACTTTCCTTACTCGTAGGAACATCGTGGGCTGCCGCATTCAACACGGCTGGAAAGAAGGCAACGAACCAGTGGAACAGTGGAAGGGCACTGTGCTGGAGCAGGTTTCCGTGAAGCCTACCCTGTACATCATTAAATATGATGGCAAAGACAGTGTGTATGGATTAGAACTACACAGAGATAAGAGAGTTTTAGCGCTAGAAATTCTTCCTGAGAGAGTGCCTTCTCCTCGCATTGATTCGCGCTTGGCAGATTCCCTGATTGGGAAGGCAGTGGAGCATGTGTTCGAAGGTGAGCATGGTAAGAAAGATGAATGGAAGGGTATGGTGCTGGCGCGAGCCCCGGTAATGGATACTTGGTTTTACATCACCTATGAGAAAGATCCAGTCCTTTATATGTACACTCTGCTGGATGACTACAAAGATGGTGACCTGCGCATCATTCCAGATTCCAACTACTATTTCCCTACAGCAGAACAGGAGCCTGGTGAGGTGGTCGACAGTCTCGTGGGCAAGCAGGTTGAACACGCCAAAGATGATGGATCCAAGAGAACTGGTATTTTCATCCATCAAGTAGTGGCCAAGCCGTCTGTCTACTTCATTAAGTTTGATGATGATATTCACATTTATGTCTACGGTTTGGTGAAAACCCCGTAAGTTTACAGTGCTCTTTGCTAAAGTTGTGGAACTATCAGTTGTAAAATATTTTGTGTTCTCAAAATTACAAGTTTTGAGAACAATTTTGAGATCAGAAATTCAGGGCAGTGGGCAAATCTTATTGTGCCTCAAAATCTTATATTGACAATTTGCCAGTTTTGATCCAAGTGTACTTTGATACTTTTGATGTTGATTTGCTCTGTAATTGGAAATTTAAAATGAATGCTAAGAAAAAAGAAAGTGTTCAGATCCATTGAAGCAATACTAAAGTAGATAAACCATACACATCTTCCCCGATCCTGTTTTACCTTCCCCCTCTCTTCTTCCTGGTAACAAATTTGAGAACTTCTCATTCATCTTAGCATATTTTCCCCATTTTCATACAGGAAGTTTGTTGTAGTTTTTGTAAAATTAACAAGTCAGATGACATGTCTTTTTATGAATAACACCATCAATCTCTGTCTCTCACTCCCTGTAACAACGGTGTACACAGTATATAGAGATGTGTCAAAAAGCATTCATTTTGTTACTCATGGCCATTTATTTCCTTCCTTATCCATCACATTGCTGTAATATATTAGGGTGCTCTTATTTCTATAGGCCGGATTCCTAGAAATGTTAAGTGGACATTTTTAACTTAAAGAAATACTGCAATACTGTCCTCCAAAATAAAAGTACCCATTTCTAGCATCCTCTGCAGCAATTTTCGATGTCTGAAAATCTTTAAAGGTAAAAAGTTCCATGGTTTTCCTGGTTACTTTAATTGCTGTTTACCTGATTTCAATAAGATTTATTTTTCTACTTGGGATCTTTCTCTTTTGTGATTTGCTAATTCCAATCCTTTGTTTTTTCAATCTGTTGAACTGAAGATCTTTTCCGTATAAATTTGTAGCAATGACTACTATAAAGTGCATTTAATCATGTGTATTTCATTTGTTAATGATTTTCCCATCATACCATTAATCTTGACTTTATTGGTAATATTGTTCACTTTATAATTAGCAAAAGAATATTTCCTTTATACATTTTTGAATTTTTATTTTATTCAGATAGATGTCTCTAAGTCATACTGATACTTGTTTTAGCCTGTAATTTTTATTTTCTTAAAATGTTTGATCAATCTCAAATTCGTTTTTATATATGGTAAAAGATAAAACTACACATTTTTTTTCAGATTACACATCCAGTTGTAGAAATACTTTAAAAAAGATCACTCATTTTCAAATTTCTGAGCCAAAATGAGTTTTAAACACATTAACTGACTAGAAGTTGTAAAAACTGGAATAGAAAATCCTTTTTCATTATTTATTTTTTCTCATATAATTTGTCTTCTACATTCATCCTTTTATCCTTTCATGTGAAAACCAAGTGCATTTTGTTACCATTTTAAAAGAGATCTGAAATCTAAGTAGAATTGCATCAAATTTGTGCATTCCTCTTTACAAGAATAGTATTACTATATTCATCCCTTAACAATTAGGAGTTTTGGTATATCATTGAAATCTTTTCATCTTGTTTTCATAACATTCTTTAGATGGGTCTTTTGTATCACATGAAATTTATTTGTCAAATCTCATTGCTGTATGTTGAGTATTTTTCCTCATATATAACTTGTTTTTTTAATCAATAGAGGCAATCTACAGATTTTATATTTTTGTCTTTAGCCAATGAGTTTATTTAATCCTATAAGTTACATTGAGCTTTTAAAATAGAATCTTTTGGACTTTCTCAATATACAATCATTTCACCTGTAAATAGAGATAATATTATTTCTTCTAATGTTTATACTTATTAGTATTACAGTAGCTGGATTCTCCAGAACCGTGTTATGAAGTGATGATGACATGCCTGTCTTATTTTTAATTTTCATGGAAATGACTTCTCTATTTCATATTAGTATGACATTTGTTGTTGATTACTGATAATTATTATGCTTAGAAGTTTCTTCTGTTCCTGTTTTTAAATAGTACTATTAGTAGAAATGATTCTTTGACTTTTATCAAATGTCTCTTCAGTATCTATTATTAAAGTCATGTTTTTTTTTTCCTTTAGTTTCTTGATATAATGATTTATTAGAATGGGAGTTATCAAATGTTTCTTCAGTATCTATTATTAAAGTCATGCTTTTTTTTCCTTTAGTTTCTTTATACAATGATTTATTAGAATAATAGCTATCAAATGTCTTTTCAGTATCTATTATTAAAGTCATTTTTTTCCTTTAGTTTGTTGATAAAATGATTTATTAGAATTGTGGTTATTTAGTATTGAATGAAACCTGTATTTCTGGAATAAATCCTACTTCTTCATGGTGAAATAATCGTTTACTATATTGATGGATTTTATTTACCTAAAAATCACTTAGGACTGGATTTGCATTCCAAAGTGAAGTTACATTTTTTTTTCCTTTCAGATGCTGTTTCTATGATGTTTTGTTATTAAAGTTGGGCTACCTTTAAAAAGTGACTTTGTGAGTTTTCTCTTTTCCTGTGATGTCAAATAGTTTAAATAGCATTAGAAATTTTCTTCCAAAGTTAGCTGGGACTAAGCTGAAAAACAATCTAATCCTAAGAACACATTTGATTATGGATCTTTAATGGAGTTTTCTGATTTTTTTTAACCGGTGGCAGTTGGCTTTTTTGAACTTTTTGTTAATACAGAATATATATTTTTCTGCCATGTACAAAATATATATTCTATGGTCAATTACATAAGAAGTTAAAAGCTGTTTGTATTATAGTTTGTTGGGTGTATTATTTGAATGTTTTATGTCCTTGTGTTTTTTATGCAAACTAGATTTGTCCAGTTCCGAAAATGTAATAAAATCATCAGCTATAATGGTATTTTTAATTCTCTTTGTATTTCTTTATTTATCAGAAAAATTTAAAAATGTAAGAAATTATTACAGATGTGAAAAGCATTTGTTTATCTCCACTCCAAATTAACAAATGTCATTATTGTGTTATGTTTGCTTTAAACATAGATTTATATTGCAGCTAATCAGGTTTAATATAAATTTATTTTCAACTACCACAGAGGCAAACACTGACAGGAATTTGTTGTGAATCTTGCCCATGTTTTATATGTTTACTATAAATAAAACTATAATCAATAATAATAATGACTTTTCTGTTTTCTAAAGATTTTGACATTTGAAATTTATTTTGGTCTTTATAAGGAATTTTTTACAATTGGAAAATGGAATATAGCAACAAAAACAATATTTTTAAATACTGATTACTGTTAACTTTCACCATTTCTAATACTGGCACTTAATCCTAGCACAGCCCAGGGTATTGAATAAAAAAGATAAGTATTTCAGGGTTGGAGAGATGGCTCAGCAGTTAAGAGCACTGACTGCTCTTAAGAAGCTGCGTTCGATTTCCAGCACCCACATGGCAGCTAACAACTATCTGTAACTCCAGTTCTGGGGAAATCCAAAGCCTTATTCTGACTTCCTTGGGCATTGCATGACATGGGTACACTTACGCACATGCAGGTAATACCTCATACAGATAAAATAAAAATAATATATAAAATATTAAAAACATAAGAATTTCAATCTTAACAGAATTTGTATTTTGGCTATGAAGAGTTATAGATGTACGACTCTTCTGTAATCAGGCTTAATGCATTTCTTTTAAGATAGTAAGGTATGCTACATTCTAACAGCCACAAAGAGACTAATCCTAATTCTAATTCTCTCTTTGAAATTTAAGAAAGCAGTAGTAAAGCAAAGCTCTTCCTACCTTAGAAAATAACAAATCTATCATCTATTTATGTATCTATGTATCTGTCTATCTATCTATATCTATCTATCTATTATCATCAATCATCTATCAAATTTCTCTCTATATATGTACATATATATATATATACATATATGGCATTTTTTGAAAATTTCATACGTGAGTACTGTATTTGCATCATTTCCACTTCTCTCAATTTCTTGCCCTTTTCTTTGATTTTATATATATATATATGGAGAGAGAGAGAGAGAGAGAGAGTAAATTTAGTGGTGCTTGTGCATACCTGTGCTTAGGGCTGACCACTTGGTATTACCTAACCTATCAAGGAACTTGACCCTCAAGAAAATGAATTCTCCCTCCGTCAGCATCCATTGATTGCCTATAGCTCTTTATCTAGAGGTCAGGACTCTCTTACACTTCCTCCATCCACATTGGAATGTCAACTGGTTTGTTATTATGCAGGTCTTATTAGGTGACAATATTGTGTTGATTTTGTGGGTGTCACTTCCCTGTCATGTCTATACTATATTATCTAGCAGCAGGCATCCTGTTCGGCTCCCACTTCTGTGATGTTCTTTAAACCTTAGGTGTTGCATTTTAGATGTACCAGTTAGGACTAGGCACCACACAGTAGCTTACTGTCTGCATTTTGATCAGTTGTAGAACTTTGTAATAGTCTCAATCTGTTGCAAAAAAAGTTTTTCTTCAGTTTCTTAATTTAGAAATTTATTCTGTTTAATCCAAAAGCACTGTATAGCTTTAGTTAAAAAACAGTTAAAAACAGTGAAACCAAGACACTATTTCCAAAGTCTGGGCCCTTCTAGCCTTCCAAATGCAAGAGCTCTTAACATTGGAAGATTAATAAAAAAAATCAGAAGATTAAGACAAGAAATATGAATAGAAGAAAGTTTTACATAACTGGAGAATCCTTCCTGGAACTAGTTAATTGCTTTTACAAAAAAGGAGGGGAAAAAAGTGAGAAAGAAAGAAAAAAATCAAACAGGACAAAATTTCAGTGATCTGAGTCAACTTCTTAACTGTTACAAATCAATATAAACCTCAAGTGTCCTGGCAAATAACATTGCTGTCACTGTTCTGTCTCCCTCTGGAGCTAAAATCCTGGTTTATACTAACAGAGACTCCACAGGCAACAGGAAAGTTTGTGGCATTAAAATATTCATTTACACTGCAGTACTTCCAGCAGTGGTCCCACTTCTGGGCAAGCTTACAAACCATTCAAGGTTGGAAGCATAATTTACATGGGTCTAAGACTCAAGAAAGAGAAAGTAAAGGAAAAAGAAAACCTCTGGGAATAGGCAAGGGCGTTTAAAGGAATCAAAAGAATGCCAACAATATTTAAGCCCCTTATTTCAAAAAAGTTTTTTTTTTTGCTTAAAATATTTCACTCTAAATGAACTAATGTTAGCTGTCAATGGAAAAATGCCATTAATATACTGTGTACACATTTGCAACTTAAATCTATGTCTTTTTTTTCACATGGTAAACATCAACCAACTAATTATTACAACAAGTTATAGTCTAAAGCTCAAACATATTTTAGCAATTTTGAAATTGAATTGAGCACAAACCAAATAAAATTTACATAACAAACATCTCCACCAAAGACTAGGAGAACACTTGAGTCTTCCACATGGAACACAGGACCTTTTTCAGTAGGTGCTTTTCCAAGTCATCAAAGCTATCTTCACTTCACTTTCAGTCTCCTTCCTGGGCTCTGGTAGTATCTCAGGCTCTTCCTGTGCTGATGTGGCTGTGACAGTATAAACAGCTGCAAGAGTGACAGGAGCTGTGGTGGCTACAGCCATAGGCTTCTAGTGATTTTTGTACTTCTTGTGTTTCTTTTCAATTTTGTGTTTCTTGTCCACCTCTTGTTCATCTTTTTCTTTCCACCTTCTTCTGGGACCAAATTTCTGGCAGGAATTGGGCTTGGTGTTGGGCTGTTAGCCTTTTTGACTGGTACTAGAGGTGACCAGTTTGTGGAGGGTGACTGAGATTGAACAGGAGATGGAGGTGCTGTAGGCTTTTTAGCAGCTGGCTCAGGACATCTGGAGACAAATCAGGAAGATGAAATTTCTTTTGGTGAGTGTTGAGAGGTACACTAATCTATGACTATAGGGATGTGTATTTAGAATATAGTAAGAAACAGACATTATTTTCTTGTTCATGCTTTCACAGTAGGCCCTAAGTCATGAACCATCAACTGAGTTGTTCCATGACATTACACTATAAAGTAAAAGTCTGTTTCTCACCTAGAGGTTCTGGGGATAAATTATTAAACTATCCTGGCAAATGTTCCTTTAAAGCACACATTCTAATGAAGGAAGCAAGATAGCTGTCAACTGTCCTTTACGATTCTGAAACTTAGATCTCTCTTATATTTGGCAATATAACAAATTAAGATCTAAGTCTGACTAGTTTCAACTCTGGTTTAACAATCCAGGATGGATCTAATGGAAAGAATGCATAACAAATATGTCGATGTATGCTCACCAACTCTGTCTTTATCCCCATAACTTTCTTAGCTATTTGGCAAGAGACTGCCTTTTGCATCTTAGGAAGTCCTAGAGCTTTATCTGGAAACCACCAGGTTTGGTCAAAGGAAATCAGCTCACTGTTGAGTTTGAAGACTCTTTTGTGTTATCACTGTGATCAACCTGGTCATTTCAGCTAGGAGTGCCCAAAGCCACCAGGCTATAAGCTTCTCCCAGGGTCTTGCCCAATCTGCAAAGTGGGGACAAACTTCTTTCCTTTGGGAAGGTTAACTTCAATCCTTTGGGAAAGTCAACTTCAACCCAAGGATCTCATACTCATTTCAAATGTGAAAATGGACAAATAAAATGGAGACTTTGTTTGTGGTCTATTAGGGGACCCAGGAAGAAATGATGTAGCCCTGAAGCTATACAGTTAACTTTGGATTTGGCAGTAGCCAAAATATTATGTTGCGTACCAATAGAGAGAGTGACACATTTAACCCTGATCAAGTTCTCAGGTTTGATCTCCTGGTCCCTGATTCTCCTCATTGGTAATCACGGCAAACTCCAAACAGCCCAGTTTACATTCTGTTTATCCTATATGGCAGACAAATACCTTTTCCGACATTCCTTTCTGGTCTTACCTAGAAACACCATTTTCCTACTAGGTAGGAAAATTTGGTCTCAAACTTCTAAAGTAGTTTTATGGGGGTAGGACACAAACTTTCAGTATGTGCAGTAGCAAGCCCAACAAATATCACAGAATACAGGTTTCTTATGGATAATTACAGGTCAATCTTGAAAGCAGGGCTAATTGCCCTTAATAGGGCATTTTAGCTGGGAATAGGAATGAGACTTAATATTTACACAGATTATGCCTTTGAGTTCCATGTGACTCATGACCATGCAGCCATCCAGAGAGAAAAGTGTCTTTTACTGCATATAATATTCCAATTAAACATAACCCTGAGATTTTGGCCCTATGAGAAGCCATCTGGCTTCCAATACAAATGGCTATTACACATTACAAGGTACACTAGAAGAAATACTCTGACATTTCTCAGGGTAATAAGCCAAACTGCACAACAGGCATCTCATCTTCCATTCCAGGCTGCCTTAGCTCCCAATCATATTACTCTCTTGCCCTTGATATACCCCTCAGGTAACAACAGCCTTTAGATCAGGGCTTTACAAATACCCCAGAGGAACGGTTACAGAATGCAGAAAACACGCTCTTCCTCCCTAAATCTTCTTAACAGAAAATCCTTAAGAGTTCTATCTGGCCATGCATTTGGCAGTCAATGCCCTGCAAATTCTAACTGAATCTCTTTTCACAGGCACAGGAATTCCTCAGACTGCATGGTCCATTTACAAAATTTGGCCTACCTGATGTCATGCTAACCCTGAAGGAGCTCTCACACTCCCTCTAGTTCCAATGGCAATCAGATTGCAAGGCCTGTAGCTATGGACAGAAGAACATTCCACCTTAGAAACTCAAATTGCATAGTCCTGTGAGCCTCTTGGAGATCTCCATCTCCTTCACTAGCAAGATGTAGGAGTGACTTATAAAATGGACATAACTCAGACTAATGAATTTAACCACCCCCAGAAAAACCATGTGCTCTTATGTCTTGTGACCTGGGCACCTGACCACATTTCCTTGGCAACCTCAATGTATTATTCCACCTGAAAAGATAATGAATGAATGTGGGCATGTTTGATAATTAATATGTTAAATCACTGCAAGACGGCACACCGCTCTCCATTGCACACAAAGGTTGACCTTGGGTGAATTATATATTCTAAAATAAGGATGAAAAGATTGGC